ATGTAGCCCAGGCTAACCTCTGACTTTTGGAGATCTTCCTGCCTCAGCCTCACAGGTGCTGGGATTGCAGGTATGGATCACTTCTCCTGGAACTTTCTGTGTATTTCTTATTTCTATCCTCTGTCCATTTATTTTTTGGGGTGTTAGATTTTTTTCTCTTTGATTTAATGTTTTTGTAGTTTTATCCACTATCATCTCTTAGATTGTGTTATTTAAATTTGGTTCAGATTGCACATTGAACGGAAGTATTAAATCTTCATGTGATCAAATCTTTCAATTTTGGGTTGAGTTTGTTTTTTTTTTTTTAACCTACCCCTGCTCCTCTGATGGCAGTTGGGAGCTGTCTGCGTTTTCTTCTTTTGAGGTAGTGGTGTATTATGGTATGAGAGAAGGACCTCCCCACCCTGCAACAATACAGCCAGCTGCGTCCACACAGGTTCTGAGAATTCCCGCTGGTCCCGCCATCCTCAGTGCTACGCCAGCCAGGCTATGTGGTGCTCTTTTCAGGGTTTTAGCATTTTGGGAGGACAAAGGCTCTTCTTGGTCTGTAAAAATGTTCTCAGGTCTTCTTGGCCCCTGTACTATTCAGTTATTGGCATTTAGTGTCACGGAAAGACCCGGGGAGATTTTGATCAGCATCAGTAAGGGGGAAGTGAACAGCTTTCATAACTGGTGAATACAAGGGTGTGGAAAAGCTCTTGGTGTCTGAGCACTGATCATCTGTATCTCAAAACCTTACAGATTTTATTCTGACAGTTTGCCTGCAGAGTCTATGGATTTGTCCGTCCCAATTCTTCTCTCTTACTTTTTTTTTTTTGTATCGAGAATCAAACTCAGGACCTTGAGCTTGCCAGGCAGGCACTTGTGCCGCGGAGCTACATCCCTAGCCCCTCTTGTTATTTAATGTTGACACCAGAAAGTACTTTTGGTCGTTACATTGTTAAATAGAAGAGAGAGAGTGGGACTTTCTGTCTCTTTTTTTTTTCATTTGTGGGGGTTGGCTTCTGAAGTGAGGCAGGAAGTATATTTATTATCCATATAGAGCCGGAGGAAGTTGGGGCTTTTTTAGCTGTGTTGTGCAAAGATTTAATTGTGAATGAGTGGAGACTTTTTCTCCCAGGGCTGAGGCTCGAGCCCAGGGATTGGCACACACTAGGCAAGCACTGTGCCACTGAGCCGTAGCCTGGCCCAGGGTACTGATCTGGGTAACCCTTCTGCGTGTGTTCAATGAGGTAATCATGTGATGTTTTTCTGTCATCTGTTTATTTTGATAGACTTTCTTTTTTTTATGTGAAGGCAGTAGTAAGATTACTTTTTTCTGAGGGGGAAATACTGGGGATTGAACCCCAGTGGCCCTCTACCATCAAGCCAGCCTTTTTTATTTTTCCTTTTGAGTCAGGATCTCACTGAGTCACCTCAGGTAGGACTCAGACTTGTGATCCTCTTGCCTGAGCCTCCCTCGGTGCCTTGACTACATGCGTGTGACGTGGCACCTGGCTTGTTTTCTTGTATTGGTCATGCAAAGTCCTTTTTTGAGTTGACTACTCATAGCCTTAATAGAGTTTATTTTTCCCTGTTGAGTTGTCACATTGCCTTGTAGGTACTTTTTTTATCTGTTACAATAATTAATCCTTTGTTATTTTCTTCCTTTAGCTTTCTGTTAGCTTTTCCTTTTAGGATTTGAGTTTTGTGTTGTGCTTTAAAATCCCCAGTATTAAACTGTAAAGTTATTTGCTATCATTTTTATAATTACCTGGTAACTTTCAAAAATTGTTTTATTTGCTATTTGTTTTACACAGTATGTGAAATTAGAACCTCCCTTCCTCCCTTCCTCCCTTCCTCGCTTCCGTCTTCCCTCCCTGTTGTGCTGCAGGAATGGTTTTGGATAAAGGTTAACTGAAACCTGTGTGTGGAGGGAAACATACTGTGCTGTGGTCCCTGCCTAACTCCCACCTGTTTCTCAGGTTAGAAGCGCTACTGTCTGTTCCATGGTGAGTCATCCCTACATGTGTTACTCTGTAGGAACCTTTTTCCAGGCATTGAAGGAGGAGGGAGCCAGCTGGAGGTGCACAGAGTCCGAGGGGCGGGGACGGTGCTGTGACGCTCAGTACTGTATCTTTCTGTTTCTCACTACAAAGCCATTAAAGAAGGGATCCCTGGGCTTATGAAAGGGATTTTAAGATTAATCACCGGCCTTACAAAACTTTGTACAGAGCCCTGCTTCTAGCTGGTGGAGGTTCCTAGTAAACACCCACACCAGCAGCCTGGTCTCTGTGGCAGCGGGGTGTGGTAGCAGCCTAGTCTGACTCGAGCATACTGACTTTACACAGAGGTACACAGACTCAACAATCAGTGATTGCTCCTCCTGCAACATAGAACATAGTCCTTATAGGAAGTTGAGCTTTAGGCTTAGACTTGGAAGGAAAATATCTTCCCACTTCTATCTTACTGTTTTCCTAGTTTGAAATTGGGTTTTTTTTTAAAAAAAGAAACACTCTGGAAGAGGTGTGGTGTAGCCCAAGGGTAGAGCACAGGTTCCTCCCCAGCACCATCACAAACAAAAGCAAACAAACCCTTAATGGTAAGAAACCCTGAGAGGTTCCTAGCCACTTGTCCGCTGAAGTGTGTGTGCAAAGGGTATTTCTAGGTTTGTTACCTTGATGAAGAATGCACTTTGGGAAAAGTGGTGAGTTAGGGTGCAGGTTTATTTTCAAAATGTCATTTTGAATAGGTCATAGATGGTAGAAAGTTCAGAAGCTATGAAAGGGCACATATCTCTTTCACAGGTTCTCTTGTGAGGTCCGTACAGTATATTCCTGTATTCCAAGACAGTTTTCTTCCATAAAGGTGACAGCGCCTACCAGCGTCTGGGGTCTCCCTGCAGAGACTTGCTGTACAGAGCCACATATACAATCCTATATGTGATATATGTGTTACATTCATAAGCGTAGATGGCGGTACAGCTCAGTGTGTTATCAGACACTTGTTTTGCCAGTGTAGAGGAGAAATTGTTCATTGTTTAACTAAGTCTACATTTCTTTTTTTTGTTTTGTTTTTGTTTTTCTCCGGTACCGGGAACCGAACTCACGACCTTGCGCATGCCAGGCAGGCGCTTTTGCCGCTGAGCTAAATCCCCAGCCCCTAAGTCTACATTTCTGTTACTTTTACAAAACACAGGATTGAAGTTGGGCATCTTCTTGGGATGAATTTAAAATACTCCTTCCCATTTGTCTTTTGCCTTGATTTGTGTTTATTGCATGAAAGCCATTTAAAAATGTGTATCAGTCTAACAGCCGACTGTCTGTGTCACTTGGGGGGGTATTAAGAAAGTATTTATGGGGGCTGGTTTTTGTTGTTGTCTCCTTGTTGAGCATTTAAAGTCTGATCCATCCGGGATTAGAGAATGAGGCTAAGAGATGTGCCGTTTTTATGTGAGGCAAACACGGGGCTGTGTGCTGTACAGATGTACTGAAATTGTAGAGTCATCTTGTCTAAAGATTTGCTGCTTTGGTGCTTGTGTTTCAAGGGAGAGTCATAGGAGGATTTTTCGTGGGTTGTTAAAGTGAATGCTGGTGGACAACGCGGGAGGGAATGGAAAGGGACGTACATCCCCGCATGGTGTTAGCCGTACTCTCAGTTAATACGCCATCACTCGTGACCCCTTCACTTGAGATATGAAAATGTGAACGTAGGTTTGGCTTGGACCTTGGGTGGTTTGGGGGGGGATCAAGTCCTCGGAGCAGCCCCAGCGCAGTTGAGGGAACGTGAGCCCCGACTCCAGCCCGAGCTCCACCGTCCACCCCAACCCGGGCGGGCAGCGCGGGGGCGCCCCTGGCGGCGAGGGCGGGCTGTCGCCTGCGCCTGTCCCCGTGTGCCCCGCCCGTCCCATCCCACCGTGACCGCGACGCCCCTTTGGCGCCCGGCCGCCTCCCTGGCGAGGACATCGGCCCTGCGGGAGCTGGAGGGAGGCGGGAGCGGCCCCTTGGTCGCGAACTTCGGGGTGTGGCGCTGCTCTGTACGGGATGCCTCGGGGTCCCCAGCCGGGGGCGCCCGGGGGCGCGCGGGTGGCGGAGGTGATTCCGGGTGAGTGCGGGCCGCCCGGGGAGGGAGGCAGGAGGGGCCGCGGCCTGGCACCCGCTGTCCGCCCCTCCGTGGCGACTGACACCCCAGGACCCCGCGGGGCGGGACGTGCCCTCGCCCTGCCTGCCGCTCCCTGCGGCGACGATGGGACCGCGGCCGCCGCGCAGCCTGCCCTGGTGGGAGCGGGCACCGGAGCAGCGCCGCCCGCGGGACCCTCTGCTCTCGCTTCAGCGATACCCAAGCGGCGATCGCAAATTATACAAAACAGCGATCCCTCAGAACAGTTGGAAAAACATATGGTTTGGTTTGTTGTGTTCGGTGGCTGCAAACTAATTTTGAAGCAGTTTTGAAAGCAGTCTTTTAAACAAAAGCGTTTTACTAAAATGACTTTTTAGGATAGCTTGAAAACAACAGACTTCATCTGGAAGCTAGATTCAAGGTGGATGGCTCGCCATCGAACAGACTGCCCTGTACTGAAGTTTGTTAGTCTAGGGGAACTAAAATTTTTCGCTAAGAAGCTCCCTCAGAAATCTAAACATATGCCGGGCCCATTTGGAAGGCTGAGGCAGGAGGATCACTGTGAGTTTGAGGCCAGCCTGGGCTACATAGTGAGCTCAGGCCAACCTGAACTACGTAGGGAGACCCTGTCTCAAAAAAAAAAAAAAAAAAAAAAAATTCCATATCACTACATGAAATGTCACTTGACACTGTTGAAACTTACAGTTCAAGGCAGTTTCTCCTTTTAAAATATTGCGTATTATTCCCCAACAGAAGAGCCAGAATATTTTGAAATTAACTATTGTCATCAACTTGCATGGAAAAAATAAAACTTCGACTTCATTTGAAGAGTTGCATCATGCTGTAGGAAACTTTTTAAATTAATAACTTGAGGAAGGAACGTTGCCATTTTTCCATTTCAGATCGCCTTTGTTTTGCCATTCTCTACAGCAGACCAAAGAGTGCATCAAATGAACATTATTTCAGCATAGATAATGAACTTGAATATGAGAAGTAAGTATTGCTTTTTAAAGATTGTTAGTGACTGTAAAGGTATGTTTACAAATAGGGTAGCTTTGGAAAATTATAAATCTGTTGGTTGGTTGCTTATTGAAGGAATTTTTAAAAATCTGTGGTAATAAAATAGATTAGGGAGGTGGGGTAAAAATGAACTAACTTTCCTGCCCCCTTTTGTTGTTTATTGGGGGATAGAACTCAGGGCCTTTTGCGTGCTAGTGCAGTACTCTACCACTGAGCTACGTCCCTAACCCTTCTGAAGTTGTATTTTGAGACTAGGGTGTTGTTCGGTTCTCTGCTGGCCTCAAGCTCCGGATCCTCCCGCCCTAGCCTCCCACGCAGCTGAGATTATAGGCGTGCACACCACGGAGAACTTTACTACATTTAACAATTCAGATTTTATATTTAATGGTCTACACTGCTGTGTGCTATAAACGTGAACTAAGTAAGCTAGAGGCTTTGCCAGTGGAAAATATGTGTGGAAGATCAGATTTCTTAGTTTAAAAGGTATTTTCATGTTAGTTGAGGTTAGATTTAGGGTGTAGCACTTGTTGCATTTTTGTTTCTGTTTTCCAGTGGTGCTGGGGGTTGAATGTAGGGCCTCAGACATGCTAAGCAGGAGCCCATCGCTGAGCCCACAGCTCATGTGCTTATGTGAATAGGTGTGTGTACCTGAGTATTTCTCCCGCTACCAGGACAGTGCTTTCAATTATATGACCCATGTCAATTTGGTGAATGCTTTCTTGTCATTTGCTTAGTCTTATAGACCCAAAAAAGGCATTTATATAGAGAACATCTAGAATATACGTATTTCTATTTTTCAATTTTAAAGCTTCTACGCAGATTTTGGACCACTCAATCTGGCAATGGTTTACAGATACTGTTGCAAGATAAATAAGAAACTAAAGGTAAAGTCCTTTTTACTTAAGATTTGACTTTAGTAATTACTGTTAGCTTAATCTTGGGGTGAAAAGTAAGGAAGACCTTTCTCTTTTTTAATAAAGCTTATTTAAAAGTTCTTTTAACAAAATAGTTTCTTGCTGAAATGACTTTTTTAGGATATCTTGAAAACACAATGGAAGTCTGGTTTTTTACAGCAGTGGTGTTTAGCACATACACATTTGTGTGTGTGTTACAAAGTAGTGTATAAATTTGTTTTCTAGCATTTTGAGGGAATACTGGAGTAATTATGATTGGGTTGGTAATGCTCAAATACTTGAAAAGTCTAAGTGGGAATTGGTTGGTTCAGTAAACATCTTATTGTCTGACTGAATGGAACTAAAACTAACTTGAGAAGTTTTTCTCTTGCTGTGATCCTTGTTCTTTCTGCCTTATTCTGATAAGGGAGTGCTAGCCACCTATGAAGAAAAATGGACTGTGCTTCCTCCTATCTTGAAATTCCCTTAAGCACGGTGACTCTTAACTTCGATCTCTTATATGCATGAGTAAGGAATGAAAAACACACAATCAGCATATCCCTAAAGGCTGTTAGCACTGGAAGTTTAAAAAGTAGTATATTTTTGTTAGTTTGCACTTAAACCCCATTATCTTTATTTAAAAAGTTTTGAGTTACTGGTCAGGCACAGTAAAAGTGTTTGTACTGCTCAGGAGCAGCTCCAGATTAGTCATTATAAATTGTTGAGTAGGAAATCCTGCATTTGGGAGCAGGTGCTTTTAAAAACAGACAACTATAAAATGAAATAAAATTTATTTTTATTTAAAATTTTAATTTACCTTAATGAAAACTTTTTGGGTAAGGGAGATTTTCCCCCATTGCTCATCAAACCATATTCACTACAAATTTAGACAGAGGTGAAGATTTTTCCTTCTTCTTGGGCACTTAAATAGGAATGTGGAAATTCACAGTGGCGAAGACCCACGCCCACCCACTTTTTCCACGTGTTAGTGGCCGGTCTTGGTCTCTTGGTTCCCACAGGGCTAGGAAGCTGAAAATAAATCCCTGTCTCTCACCCTTTTCCTTTCCTTTAATTTTGAAAGAGCCCCACCCCCACTCCAGTGGTCTGTGGACTTTGATTCTTTGGGTCAGCCAAAATCTTTTTTTTTTTTTTAAATAATTTACTAGAACAACTTGTACGTGTTGATCTCCAGCCTGACTGAAGCATTGCTGCCTGTCTAGTCTATAGTGATAAAAAGTGGATTGAAAGTTTGAAGGAGCGTTGAAATGTGCTTCTGTGCTCAGAAGGCGGATTGGGTTCTGTCCCTGGTTTTGGATCACCTCGGGTCTCCTAGTGTACACACATTCGTTCCTGAAGCCCCAGCGTTGGAACACAGAGCGAGGGCTTACGGAAGCCACGCAGCACGTGCTCACTGAGCGGCACACCCTGTCCCCGTCCTTACCCCAGTGTATTTCTGCTCCTCTTTGTGAAGCACAGCTGGGAAGTGCTAATTCATTGTGTGTTCCGTGTTTTGAACTTGCATATCTTTTTAAACTTTAGATTGGCGTATAATACGCGTGCAGAACTACATACTGGTCCGTGAGCATACAGCTCAGTGAGTTTCCACAGAGGGAATGAATACCTGTGGTTAATTACCTTGCCTAGGAGATAAAGAACAAAACTAGCAGCCCCACAACCCTCACTTGCCCTCTAGGTTGCCCTCTCTGCCTGCCCCTCCCTGCTTCCTCAGGACCCTGATTGCCAACAGTGCTGATTAGTTTTGCCCTGTTTTACCTGCCCTTCCTTTCCCCATTTCCTTTCGTCTTCCCTCCCTCCCTCCCTCTTCCTTCCTTTCCTTCCTTTCCTTCCTTCCTTTCCTTCCTTTCCTTCCTTCCTTCCTTCCTTCCTTTCCTTCCTTTCCTTCCTTTCCTCCCTTTCCTTCCTTTCCTTCCTTTCCTTCCTTCCTTCCTTCCTTCCACAGTGCTAGGGATTAAACCCAGGGCCATTGTGCTGAGCCACATCCCTAACCCTTTTTTTATTATTATTTTGAGACAGGGTCTCACTAAGTTGCTAAGTTCCCCAGACTGGGTTTGAACTTTCTGTCCTGCCTCATCTTCCCAGAGTGGTGGGATTGGGATTGCTGGCATGCACCACCACACCTAGTTCCCCTTGCATTTTACTGTCATGTTTTTGGAATAGATACTTTAAAAGCAGTCTGGAAAGAAGAGGTTTCTCCTATCTCCATTTCCAGCTTCTTCTGTCATCTTTGAGAGGCAGAGGCAGCCTGTGCCTTTCTGCTGCTGTGTTGTAGATTCCCAGACACTGACTTTTCCTTTCCCCATCAGAGGACTTAGCTGATGAGATTACGAGGCCGAGTCTGACAGTTCCTCGGGAGAACAGAGCTCTGTGGAGCGGCTGGCATCCTGCAGAGACCTTCAGACTTTGGTCATACGTGAATGAATAGCTGCGGTTTCATGGTCCCTGGCACCTCTTGGAAATGACCCGAGCATCTGTCTTTAAGCTATATCTGTTCACGTCTCAGCCCCTTATCCCTCTTGACCTTTGTGTTCATTCTAGTTTCAGAATGTCTCTGTGGGAAGGTACTTGCTATTTTGGGGTATCAGCATTGCTCTTTTCAAAGCTCTTGTGAATGTGAATGCTTATTTGTTGCGAGATTTCTAATTGGTCTTTATCACAAAGTAAAAATTTTTTAAAACTTTAAAAAATACTAATAACTGTGTATTTTTGTGCAGTCCATTACAATGATGAGGAAGAAAATTATTCATTTCACTGGCTGTGATCAAAGAAAACAAGCTAATGCTGCTTTCCTTATTGGCTGCTATATGGTAAGTACTTAACTGGTACAACTAGCTCACTCTGTCCTCACGGGAACATCTAGCAAGGACGCGCGCAGACAGGCACGGGAGTGTTATAAGAAATTGGGTGACTCTCCGTGTGGGTTAGAGTCCCTGGTGCTCTGTTTAGGTTGTTGGAAGTACACCTTGGGACGGCCACTATTTACATAAGACTGAAGAATTTCCCTTCTTTCTAAATTCTTTTTCTTTTCTTTTCTTTCTTTCTTTCTTTATTTATTGGGTTTTCTTGGGGGTGGTTTCTGGTACTGGGAATCAAACTCACGACCTTCTGCTTGCCAGGTAGGCGCTGTGCCACTGAGCTAAATCCCCAGCCCCTTGTTTATTTATTTTTATTTTATTTTACTTTATTTGTTTGGTTTTTTTTCTGGTACCTGGAATTGAACTCGCGACCTTGCGCTTGCCAGGCAGGCGCTGTGCTGCTGAGCTAAATCCCTAGCCCCTATTTATTTTTATTAGTACAGATTTGCTGTACGTAATGATCGCATTCATCATAGGGAATTTGTCCCTGTAGGTAATATATCTTCATTCTTTAGGAATTTCGTTTATTAGTAAGTTATATTGGAAGACCTTTGGTTTTCTATTTGTTTGTTAGCTTAGTATGTGATGCTGGGGGTTGAACCCAGGGTTTTACGTGTGCTAGGCAGGTACTCTACTCCTGAGCTGCACCCCCTTTGGCCCCTTACTTTATTTTTATAGTCAGCTTTTATTTTGCATCAGTGTGATCCTGAAGGAGCCCCTGCAGCTGCAGTTTTTCCTGAGTTCACTTAGAGCTCAGAGCGGGAGAACTCCGGTCTGTGGGCTGTAAGGGAGCCTCTTTTCTCATCTTTTCTGTCCGTGTCTAGGATGTTTCTTACACTTCCATCCCAGCACAGGTATGATTGTCACCTAGATTTTAAAAAAATAATAAAACTTAGAAAGCGTTTATTTGGGAACTTTTTAAGTAAGTTCTCCCTCCCTTTCAACTTACGGCCTAGCTCTGTCATGCTGTTCCCACCTTCTAAAATTATTTTCTTGCGTATAGTTTAATAATCTGGAATTTACAAAGATTAGACCCAAAACTAGTGAAGTTAGTTGAAATTGAATGTCAAATAATTTCCATTTGTTTATTTATTTGTTTGTTTAGTTAATTTTGGTACTGGGGTTTGAACCCAGGGCTTTTCCTTGAGCTGTATCCCCAGGAGAAATTGATAGGAAGGAAATATTCCAAATGGACTGTTTACCTTGTCTTTTTAAACTCCGGGGTTTTATTCATAAATCGACTTAATATGGGGTGGTGAGGTAGTTCTCTGGCACACAGGAATAAAGCATTAATAATTCTAAGTAATTCTATTTTTATCTTAACAGAAGAGGTTAGGTGTCACCAGACTCTAAAACATAGACTGATGTGCCCACTTCCTGTTAGTTCGCTTGTCAGATGGTCGGGCCTGTCCCACGGCTCAACAGAACTGACAAGACAGACTTGGCCGTTCAAACTCTTGTCCCTGAAGAGTCGGGTAAATGACTTTACCATGGTAGCTGTCTGAATCCTGGAATCTTTGATAACAAGGCAGAGTTGAGCTAAAAGTCTTTTACACCACTGGGAAAAGAGTGAGGAGCTTTAAAGATAAGTGAGTTTTTCTTTTACAAAAAGATGTGTGCCCTTTACAAAATGATGCTGCGCTATCATGTGGTAGGTCAGTGACTGTCAGCCAGATTTGGGGGTTGCAGTACTTAACCGCGTCATTTCAAAGTAAAGGTTTTACTTCGAAATTTTAAATGGAAATACTTTCTGGTTTTGGTTTTTTTTTCTTTTTTGGTATTGGCAGTCCAACTGAGGACGTTGCACTTGCCAGGCAGGTGCCTGTGCTGCTGAGCTATATTTCTGGCCCTATGTAAATGCTTTTCAAAACAAATTCCTGATTAAAGGAGCATTTTGAAAATAAAAATTTGAGATTGTTTTGTCATCTTGTAAAAAATGTCATGCACAAAACCTATATTTGCACCCTGAAAAAAAAATTTTAAAAGCTTATATTTATAGAAGAGGGGCACACACGTGTGTGTACATGTGTTGTCTGCATACACATACATACAGTATATGTTTGATGTTTACCAATCGCTTTATCACCTGCTTTTAAAAAATGTTAGCGACCTGTTCTTTCATTGTAGTATATATTTTATCTTTGTCATGGCTTGTATCTAGATGTCCCCTCAAAGCAAGATGCAGTCAGTCATAGGTGAGGCTTTTTAGAGCTAGCTGGCTCTAGGGTGTGTGATAAAGGGTGTGATGCTGGGATTAAGGAAGGCCCGCCCCGAGTGTGGGTGGCACCACCCAAAAGGTGAGCAGTAAAAGGGAGAGGCAGGCGGCTGCTGTTGCTTCCTCTGCCATATTAATTGCTGCTTTCTGCCTTGCTGCCGTTTTACCTGAAACCTCTACCAACTGAGAGCTGAGATAAACCTTTCCTCCTTTAACTTTGGGTGTTGGGTATTTTGTCGGAGCAATGAGAAAAGTAGCTAAGACAATTTTTTGGAAAAATTTATTTTAAAGAGGAAAAAAAGGAAAACAGAATTTTAAAACAAGATAATAGGAGGGTAACAATGGTTAATACATTGTGTATTATCTTTAAATTAGTTACTCAAGAGTATAAGATACATGCATTTAATTGTCCAAACAATATTAACACAAACCTTTCTTTTCACTGAATGAAGAAAAATTAGGAGTATAATGGTCTTAATTATCCTGTATGTATACATATATTTTTCTTTTCCCTTCTTTTGTCTCTTCCCCTACCCAGTTTCTTTTTCCTTTTGAACAGTTTCTTCCCATGTTATAATATCTATTGTATTTTTTTTTCTTTTTTTTTTTTTTTTTTCTTTTTGAGACAGGGTCTCTCTATGCAGTTCAGGCTGGCCTTGAGCTTACTTCGTAGCCCAGGCTGGCCTCAAATTTGCAACGATCCTCCTGCCTCAGCCTCCTGACTGCTGGGAATACAGGCGTATACCACCAGGGCCAGCTTTTTGCATTTTGGATCTTGTACTTTCAGTTTCTCACACTAGTAAGACAATACAGTGTTTAATCATGTGAGTCTGATTTATTTCACATAAGAGTATGGTCTTGAGTTGCATCCATGTACCTATAAAAGTCTCCAGTTTATCTTTCTTTATGGCTGAGTAGTACTCTATTGTATAAAAAGACCACATTTTTTTTTTAATCCATTCCTCTGTTGATGAGCATTTGGGTTGTTTCCAAGATTTAGCTATTACAGCCAGGCATGGTGGCACACACTTGTAATCCCAGCACTAGGGAGGCTGAGGCAGGAGGATCCTTGTGAGTTTGAGACCAGCCTGGGCTACAAAGTGAGCACAAGGCTAGCCTGAACTGCATAGTGAGACTCTGTCTCAAAAAGACCAAAAAAAAAAGATTTAGCTATTACAAATTATGCTGCTATAAACATGGGTGCACATATATCACTGTGGTACGATGTTTTTAATTCTTCTGGGAAGATACTCAGAAGGGGAATGGCTGGGTCAAATAGGACCCCCAATCCTAGTTTTTTGAGGAATCTGCACACTAATCTCCACAGTGGTTGCACCGGTCTACGCTCTCACCGACAGTGGAGAAGGATTATTTTTTCCCCACAGCCCCTCCAGAATTTGTTATTGGTTGATTTCTTGATAACAACCATTCTTTCTGTGGTGAGATGGAATCTCAGTGTTGTTTTAATTTGCATCTTTTGAATGAACAGTGATGTTGAACATTTTTTCATATATTTATTTGCTGTTTGTATTTCTTCATCTGAGAAGTGTATATTCATCTCAGATGCCCATTTTTGGATTAGATATTTGAATTTGGGAGGTCTGATTTTTTTTTTTTTTAAGTTCTTTATATGTTCTTGATAGTAATCCTTTGTCTGAGGAAAGCTGGCAAACATTTGTTCCCCCATTGTGGGTTGTCTCTTCACTCTGTTGGTGGTTTCTTTTGCTGTGCAAAAGCTTTTTAATAAGATGAGATCACAGTTGTTGATTCTTTGTGATAGTCCCTGTGTGGTCAGGATCTTATTCATAAAGTCTTTGCCTACACCAGTGGCTAAGACAGTTTTTATTCTGAGATGATACTGTTTTCCCAGTGGGTCCAAAATACCCGCGCTGTCTAATGCAAGACCACAGGCTGAGGTGGCTGTGCCTCTGATCTCTCTTACTGTGAACACTCCTGTTTTGACTACACCAATTTTCTGAAGAGGCCACCCCCGTTGTCTGCTAACATGATCCACCTTTTAAGTTTCTCTGGCTTTTCTTCTTTGGAGTGTATTTAAACGCCGCAGAAATGATTTGAACCCATGAAAGTCATATCTAAAGGCTTGTGCCATTAGTAGTAAATGTGACATCATACAAAGAAACACAAATGACCACTGGATTAGGTGCTAACCTTCATGGTGGTTTCAGTATGTGGTTTTCTCCTTCTGACTGAAAGTACTCAATACCTGTCAGCCATTCACCTATGTTTAAACAGCAGTATTCCAGTCACTCCCTGCACACTGATGCCGAGGCACTAATGGGGCACAGAAACTGTGGTGGTCCCGTAAGATTATATTGCCTAGTGATATCATAGCCATCTTAGCTTGTGTTAGTTCACCGTGCGACCATTGCATAAAGGGTGAAGTCATCTAAAGATGCATTTCTCAGTCTGTATCCCCCTCAAATGATGCCTAACTAGTTTTATTAGGATTTTGGTACAATGTTTTTCCAATTTTTTTTTATATCCTTTTTTTTGGTACTGGAAATCGAACTCAGGACCTTGCGCTTGCCAGGCAGGTGCTGTGTTGCTGAGCTATATCCCCGACCCTCTTGTATCCTTTATTATCTGGCTTTCTTTCATGGAAGATGAGCTTTCCTTGGTAGGGTTGGGGATATTTGGTAGCACGGAAGCAAAACTACCTACTGAATAGAGAGCAGATGGGTCATTTCCCTTTAATGGTCCGTTTTCAAAGTAGTGT